AATGTATTTTTCTTAAAAACAAATATGTAAAATTCCATTTATGTTGTTTAGCAATTACTGCAATCACAAGTACATCTGTAAACGCCCACATTCATTTATATTGAGTTTATATTTATATTTTTATGGAGTTTTTTATGTACAAACATTTTAACTGAATGCACCTTTTAATGAAGTTTTTTACATACAAATATTCTAACTGAATGCACCTTTTTATGGCGTTTTTTATGTACAAATATTTTAACTGAATGCACCTTTTCATGGAGTTTTTTATGTACAAATATTCTAACTGAATGCACCTTTTTATGGCGTTTTTATGTACAAATATTTTAACTGAATGTACCTTTTCATGTAGTTTTTTATGTACAAATATTCTAACTGAATGCATCTTTTCATGGAGTTTTTTATGTACAAATATTCTAACTGAATGCATCTTTTCATGGAGTTTTTTATGTACAAATATTCTAATTGAATGCACTTTTTTATGGCGTTTTTTATGTACAGATATTTTAACTGAATGCACCTTTTCATGGAGTTTTTATGTACAAATATTCTAACTGAATGCACCTTTTTATGGCGTTTTTTATGTACAAATATTCTAACTGAATGCACTTTTTCATGGAGTTTTTTATGTACAAATATTCTAACTGAATGCACCTTTTTATGGCGTTTTTTATGTACAAATATTTTAACTGAATGCACCTTTTCATGGAGTCAAATGTCACATGAACCCAACTCGATTAAGAATAGTTTTAAATTTATGGATATTTTAAGTTTTGTTTTGTTTTGCATGCGGATGTGACCTGATGTTTAGCGTACCAGGCTGCTGATTCGAAGGTCCAAAGTTCGTGCCGCGATGCCTCTGAATACAGTCTGCACTTTCAGCTTTAGGTGCATTATAAGAATTACAGTCAAATTATGTAATTCGGTTTAATCCAAACAAAGCCTTTAGGGCGAAAGGTGTTGTTATCTATCTACTTTGCCTTTCTTTGGTAGTTCAAGATTAGGAACGACTAACCCTAAACCAAAGGTCTTTTAGCCCGTGTACGCGAAAGTATCGTTCAGGATGGAAATACTAATATCACAGGATGGATTGTTTTGTTTGTTTGAAGTTAAGCACAAAGCTACACAATGGGTTATCTGTGCTCTGCCCACCACGGGTATCGAAACCCGGTTTATAGCGTTCTAAGGCCGCAGACATACCGCTTTGCGGTAAGCCATAGGATGGAAATACTAATATAATTTATTTTTTATCATGATTCATCAGTCGCCATCGCTTGAGCACTTTTATAATCATATGCAAGCATTATTTCTATTAAGTTTTTTAACCATTTTTTTTTCCATTTTTGGCCACTTTTTATCTCTCATATTTATCATGTAATTATAACTTCCATAATTTATCATATGGATCTTATTATCTAACATGACTTAATTTAAGCTCTATTTTAACTACCACATATCCTGCTATTATATATACAAAAAAACATTATACTAGAAATCAATCGTGTTATCAAACAAAACATTTTCGTAATCATCCTTTGTTACAGGTTTTTACTAACAATGTTCTTAGTATCATAATATCCTAACATTGTTCGTCATCTGTACAATTCATTTAAGATCTCAACCTCACAGCTTGTTTGTTTCAGAATTACACCCAGAGCCATGCAAGGGATATCAACGTATAACCTAGTTTTGAACTAATAACTATTATGGAAGACATTATAGTTAACTTGTAGTTAATTTTTCTGCGAGTCACTCACATAATCTGGATGTTTCAAATACATTTCAGCGAGTCATTAAAATAATATTGATGGTTCAACACATTTCAGCGAGTCATTCAAATAATCTTGATGGTTCAAGCACATTTCAACGAGTCATTCAAATAATCAAGATGTTTTAAATACATTTCAACGAGTCATTTAGATCATCAGGATGTTTCAAACACATATAAACGAGTCATTCAGATTATCAGGACGTTTTAAATACATTTTAGGAAAATTTCAAAACGTACAAAAATATTTCTGTATAATGTCTGATCTCACCTTATTCATCAAGCTACCGAATGTGTTCATGATCTGTAATCCAACTTAACACTGATATTACCAAGAATTTAATTTATACGTGCATGCAGATTCAGAGAAGATGACACTTACCTAGTCATTATTGGAACTCAAGATCTAGAGGGAAGGAAACAACTAAATATCAATAAAGGTTTTCTACAATTGACGAAGACGTACTACCTCTACCCTCCTCCCAATCCCATAAAGATGCGTTCTGTATTATGATTGAAAAAAAAAAGGTTCCTCAAGCCAAACATTGTATCTTGTAATTTAAATTTAACCCTATTTGGTTATATTTAGAGCAAAGCCCACATTGAGTTATCTGCTGTGTTTACCGCAGGGAATGAAACACCGGAGACAGAGTCAACTTCTACATTTTAAGCTTTTTTAACGTTTTTTAAAATATTTTGTTTTATTATTACATATGGCCCGGCATGGCCAGGTGGTTAGGGCGCTCGACTCGCAATCTGA